CTAGATTAGAATCTGTTGCCTTTAGCTCTACATCTATGATCCTCTAAATAAAGAATTAGAATTTAGCTAATGATTGAAGCCCTGCTCTAAGTCATAAGAACACATTTTCTTAGTCAATTCTTATTTGGAGAAATGAAATTTTCTTGAAGCTAAGATCTTCATATAAAAGGAGGATAAGAGCTAGGGGAAAATGTTGGGTCAAATGTGAAATGACCTGCTTTATTTTAACATGGCAAGCACTTCTCAGTGTCCTTGCCAGGAGTGATTTCACCAGCTGCTGTTTCTATTCTCCACCTTGCCCCTCAGGGTTGGCACAAGACCCAGTCACACTGTGCCCACACTTCTCCTTAAAGTGCCACTTTGTCTGATCAAGAGGCAGTGGTCAAATCAACCATGCTTTGATCTCTGACTTTGGGGAATTGCATTCAGTACATATGGCCCCCCCTCAAATTTGTAAACTGAAGTGAAAGGCATCATCTAATTTGAAATATCACAAATGGCATCATGTTTAAAGTGGGTTCCTAATTCAATTCAATTCCACAGACACCTTTTACTAAGGACCTATCATGGTCAAGGTACAATGTTAGGCAGCGAAACTTCAAAAAAACACAGTTTCTTCATTTAAAAACATAGATTCTAGAAAGATAAATATGATACCTAAACACATAGGTAAGGCACATGCTAGTATGTGAAGAAGACAAAGGAGAGATTAAAAAAAAATGTTCCAGGAAAAATTGAGAGTGCTAACACTTTCACCAGAATCAGGGAATGTTTCATAAAGAAACTAGCACCTGAGCCAAACCTTGATGGAAGATAAGGGTTCTGAAAGACAAAGAAGAAAAGGAAGTACACTTAAGTTAGGCATGGGAGTGGGGGCAGCTTGTACCAGTGTACTGAGGTGGGAGAAGGCTGAAAGGTAAGAAGAGTCTAGGGAACATAGAATACATAAGGGAGAGTAATATGAAATAAGGTAGAAGACAGATTTTGGAGGGTCACAAAAGCCAAAATAAGAGATTCCAATTTTATTCAAGAGGCAAGTTAGTGCTTTTCAAGTCTTTTGAGCAGAGGAGTAACACAGATAGATAGGGTGGTCTTTCTTTCAGTGCAGGAAAATGTCACCACTACCAGAAATGTCACTAAGATATGAGTAAAAAGGAAAGCCATAAACATATGTTGTGAGGGGTTCTGGGAAATATCTTCTAACATCCTCTTGGCCATAAGTATTTCCCTAACAGGATTATTTGCTAAGGCCTATAACTCTATCATTAGATAGTAATTCTTTTTGCTTATTCTTCATACTTATTGTATTTTTATGGTCTTTAATTCCCCAATTTCCCAAGTTAAAGAGACTCTAAATAAGCCCACACTGCTTATCTATTTTATTTGTTCGACACACTTCCCGTTGAATAGCTATCCAGTCCCAATATGAAAACCCACTATATGTCTGTCATCAGAGATCCTCATCCTATCCTAACAGTTTTCTCATGTGTTAAATGAAGGTCCAGGGCAAGATGACCTCTAGGGCCCTTCCATCCTGAAATTTATGAATATGTTTAGATTTTAAAAATATTTTTCTAAAAAAGATTTCTTTGTTCTGATCTATTAAACAATTGATATAAAAGTACAATTTTTACTAATGAATTATTTCATCATTAGGGGGAAATGAATAAAATATTACTAAGAAAAGGAAACAAAAGTTAACTGCTTGGTTATCAGAATATAATGAGATGACATCTATATGAATTACTGTGTAATTTCTATTAGTTCCAAAAATGCTATCAAATGAATGAGGCATTATAATCATTAAACATTACACAGCTTACACAGCTAAATAATCTTACTAGAGTTGATTAAATCAGTAAAGCAAAGAACCATGGAATCATCAAATGAGCACCAAGATTGAGTCACAACCTTGTCTTTCTCTTCCTATGTCTTCCTCTGGATGTTTCCTTTGGAGTGTTTAAATAAGACTTGTTCAATTCAGTTAAATTTATCAAGCTTTTATTAAGTGCTTTACTATGTACCAGGTTCAGTGCAAGCTTCTGACAGTGGAAATTGGTGTTGGGCTTACAAAAAAAATTTTTTTAAATGATCCTTGCCCTCAGGATACTTACAGTCTATTGGAGGAAAAAACATATGCAGATGAGTAAACAGCAAATCCATACAACAGAAATAAAAAGTAATTTCTGGAAGGAGCACTAACATAACAACTAAGGGGAATCAGGAAAGGTTTGAATAGGAGGTGGTACTTGAGATGAGCTTTGAAAGGACCAAGGATTTCCAAGAGACAGAGGTGAGGAGCAGAACCTTCCAGGTACAAGGGGTCAACCTGTGCAAAAGCAGGAAGGTAGCAGATGGACTGTCATGAATACAGAATAGTAAATAGGCCAGTTTGGAACATAAGGTATTTGAGGAAAAATAATATGTAGTCAGTCTAGAAAGACAAGTTAGAGCCAAATGGTGAAAGGCTTTAAATGTCAACTAGAGAATTCTGCATTTTATCCAATAGGGTAAATAGAGAACCATTGATGCTTCCAGAGCACGTAGTAACATACTTATACCTGTATTTTAGGTATATCAAGGATATTACTAATATGGAGAATAGATGGAGGAGGCAAGGACACTTGAGATGGGGGAGATCAATTGGGTGACTCTCGAAATAGTCCAGGAAAGAGTCAATGAAGGCCTGAATGCTGGTCACGTGGACAGAGAAAAGGGGAAAGTGAAAATAGAATTAACAAAACTTGGCAATTAACCAGATGTGAAGTGTGGTGAGGAAGAGTGAAGTGTTAAAGATGACTCTAATGATTCTATGAACGTGAATTAATAGAACAATGGCAGTACCTTGGACAGAAATAGGAAAGTTGGGGAAGGGGCATATTTAGGGTGAAATGTGATGTTGGTTTTGGATATGTTTGATGGGTCATTCAAGCAAAGATATTCATCAGGACTAAATCTCAGGAGAGAGATAAAGGCTTAATATGTAGATTTGTGAATTATTCTCATAGAAGTGACAGTTGAACCTATAGAACTGATGAGATGAACAAGAGAATAGAGAAAGAAAAGATGAGACAAAGCATACACCAATACACATAGAGTAGAGCATGAATGATGATCCTACCAAAGAGACTGATAAAGAGCAGTTGGATAGTTAGGAGGACCAGGAGAAGAGCAGTTTCATGGAAACCCATGGAAAGTCTCCTTAGTCTCCTTTGCTGAGTCCCCATCCAGGGAACTTCCACTAACTGAAGGTGTCCCATAGGGTTCTGTTACAGACCCTCTTCTCTTCCTCCTTTATACTACTTCACTTGATGATCTCATCAGCTCCTGTGGATTGAATTATCCTCTCTATATTGACTATTTTCAAATATGTCTATCCACCTGTAACCTCTCTGTTGACCTATAGTCTTGTATCTCCAATTGCTTTTCAGAGATTTTAAATTGGATTCCAATCTTAAACTCCACATGCCCAGAACAAAAGCATTATCTTTTTCTCTAAACTCTTTTCCTTTCCAAACTTCCTCATTACTGCTGAGAACACCACCATATTCCCAGGCTTGCAATGTAGGCATCATCCTTGTCTTTCATTGTCTCTCATACTCCATATCCAATCTGTTGCCAGGACCTGTCAATTTCACCTTTGCAACATCTCTCCAAAAGGCCCCCTTCTCTCTTCTGACACTGCTACCATTCTGGTGCAGGACCTCATCACTTCACTTCTAAACAATTATAATAGCCACTGGTGGGTCTGCCTCCCTCAAATCTCTCCCCTCTCTAATCCATCCTCCATTCAGCCATCAAAGCAATTTTCCTAAAGCAAAAGTCCAAACATGTCATATATACCCCCACTCAAACTCCAGTGCCTCTCACTTCTAGAATCAAATATAAAATCCTCTGTTTGGCACTCAGAGCCCTTTAAAACCTAACCCCTCATCCCACCCCTACCTTCCCATTCTTCTCACACATTACTCCCCAGCCCTGTCCACAACTGTTTCATCCAGTAACACTGGCCTCTTGGCTGTTTCACAAAGCAAGACACTCCATCTCTCAGCTCTTGACATTTTCCTTGGCTATCTCATATTCTTGGAAAACTCTGCCTCCTCATTGTTGGTTCCTGGTTTCTCTGGTTTCCTTCAAGTCCCCTACCTTCTATAGAAAGCCTTTCCCAATCCCCTTTAATTCTAGTATGTTCTCTCTGTTAAAGATTTCCTATTTATTTTGTTTATAATGTATTTGTTCATTTGTTTGCTTGCTTCCCCAATTAGATTTTGAGCTCTATTGAGGTCAAGGACTATCTTTGCCTTTTTTTGTATCCTCAGCACTTAGCATAGTGCCTGGCACAGTATAGTTACTTAAGGAAAATTGTGTTGGGAATGGCATGAACTAAAAATTCTATCCTAGCTTTAGTCTAAAGTGACCACCTATCTTGAATTTTGTAGGATACTTCCTCAAACAGCAAGGCTACCTTGTTTCTCCTACAAGACATTCCTCATACCATTCAGTGTTATCTATCCTGGCACATCATTTCTAACACCATCCACGGTTTCTGAGATTCTCTACTTCATCTGAGCATCAAAAAATTATAGACCTTTTGTTATTTATATATCCCAGTCTCTGAAACCAAAGGTCTAATTGGGCTCTTCCATCTAGAGATCTTCATCTCTAGAAAGTCTACAAGACTAACAGGGCCTGGTCTCTTTCCATTGCATCAGATAAGCGAGACAATTAGTTAAACTGTTTCATCAGTACAACGCTACATATACAACAGGCAATAAAGAATTACAGGTTTGCTTCTCAGGACAGATAAGTGGATTTAGTTCATACACTGAAGCCAGAATGCATGGCTGTACACTATCTTTGCAGGATCCCCAAACTACAGAACAGGTAACAAAGTCTTAGATTAGCCCAAATCTGTACTAGATGAGTCTGTCGGTTAATGTCATAGGTGAGATTAAGCCTCTTGATGACCAGATCTCATCAAAAATTTCCATACTACTTACCCATATCTGAAGCTTGATTCTCTTTTCATTTTTGAAGACGGTTTTTACTTTGAAGTCAATGCCAACAGTGCTGACGAATGCAGATGTGAAGGAATCATCTGCATAACGGAAGAGGAAAGAAGTTTTCCCCACACTGCTGTTCCCAATGATGAGCAATTTGAACATGTAATCAAAGTTCTGGTCCGAGGTGTCCTTCTGGCCATACCTGGAGTCCTGGGCAGAGGCCATCTGTGATTGAAAACAAAAGGAACTGTGAATGGTTTCTTACAGGACAAAAGACATAATAATAAACTCCTCATAGAACTCCCCAGCAACAAACAACAGAGTACTCAGAAGGCAGCCCAAGAGGGATCCTTGTGTCTCAAAGATGCTGGTCACCATGGCAATAATCCCTCAGTGTATCAGAAAACAGCAAAACTTTAAGGCTTTTTATTTGTTTGTTTATTTTTGCAGCTGTGCTGGTAGGTTGTTTTTGTTGTTGATGGTGGTTTTTACTGCTCAGTGTTTGGAAGTCATTAGATCACCAAGGCCATGCCTACCCAGGTCACGTGAAAAATAGGGATTTTCCAAGCCCTGTGAAGTGTGTAGACAAGTAATCTAGGTAATTTAACTTACCAACCTTTCTATAGCAGTATGTTTTTACCTGAATTGTTTGGATAATGACCTCCACTCACCCTTCATTTCACTTGCATAGCCAAAAGCATATCTATAATGTAACTATCTGAGCAAACACAAAAATTACATTAAAACAGGGTCATCAAATCAAAACTGGAAGAAACCTTTGAAGTCAACAGGTCCAGCTCTCCTCTACCTAATTTATAAGTGAGGAAACTGAGGGCTAGACAAATATCTTGCCCAAAACCACATATGGAGAGAATGACAGAAAAAACTATTTGAAGTCACATCATCTGATTTCACATCAAGTGCTCCATAGTGAGATCCTAAGTTAGCATAACCATGTACTAGATAAGTCTGTCAGTAAATGGCAGCAGTGGGATCAATATCCTTGCCTGCCAGATCTGACCATAAAGGAATGCCCTTTTCTAGTGATTCCAAATACACTGACTAACAAATTATATGACAAACTGCAGGGTTCTACATCCTGAAGATGAAAGCTTCTTGTATCAAACTTATGAAAAATGTCTCCAGTACTACTTTGGTCGTTGCTATTGTTGGGTTCTTTTAGTCATCTCCAACTCTTCATTACCCCATTTTGAGTTTTTTTGGCAAAGATCCTGAAATGGTTTGTTATTTCCTTCTTCAGCTCATTTTACAGATGAGGAAACTGAGTCAAACAGGGTTAAGTGACTTGCCTAGGGTCACACAGCTAGTAAGTATCTAAGCTTAATTTGAACTCAGGAAGATGTATCTTCCTGACTTCAGGTCTGGCACTCTACTTACTGCACCACCTAGCTGTTCCAGCCCTATCCAGCTGCCAAATCTACCCAGGTTTGCTAACTGCCTTTCTGTAGAGAAGATTCTCTCGAGCACAATTTTCTAAAAATCCATTTGTGTCTTAGTTCTTAGACTGAGTATTTGCAAGTTTCTAAAAGTAGCTATGCAACTGAGAGAAAGAAGGCATGACAAATTGGGTGAAGTTGCTACTATCCTACATTCCAGGCCACACCATCAATCTCCTTCCATATTCTATCAGGTTAGGGATCCATGTAGAATACCTTTAGGTACCTTTGAAGAAAGGCTGGTCTTTGAGATCATCCCATCCAGGCTTTGCCTCAACCCCTGCCTTGATGCCAAAGGACTCCTCATTCTCAAGAAGTTACAAAAGTACCATTCTGTCTATAAAGGCATGGTTGAAGTCAAGACGCTGCACTACAAATTATTGTACCTACTACTATTGAAAACCCTGCAAACTGTCAAGATTTAGGTATAAGAAGTCATATTGAAAGCATCACCTTCATTTAATAAAGGCAGATACACATGAATGCAGAGGACAATATTCTCCACACAGTAGCTGAGAAATTCTTACTGGGTTTGTGATTGCAGGTTTATGTCTGAGTCCATTCAAAATGTTCCTTTCAGAGAAGAAACACTGACATTTTAATAAGGGCACTTGAAGAACTGTGAACATTAGCTAATCCCATTTATTCCTGAGTATCTTTTCCATTGTTTTTGTTGTTTATTTCATTATTCACTCAATGAATATTTATGAAAATCCTGCATTATATGAGCAGAACATCATGCTAGATATCAGAGGATAAGACACCATTGCTTCTGTCATGAAGCTTCACCTAGTAGATAACACGACAAAAACAAATAACTACAACGCACAAAAGTACGGAAGAAATTCATTAGAAATTCATGAAAAGGGGGCTATAAGAAGAACATGGGGGTGATGGTCACTAAAAACAGGCAGGGGTAAGAATGCCCTGTTGGATAAGGTAGCAGCATGTAAACAATTCTCTCTTGAAATAGAGTGGAAGCTTGAGGTCAGAGACTGTTTCACTTTTGCTTTTTTTTGTATCCCCAGTGACTAGCACAGAACTTTATATCAGTGGTGTCAAACTGAAATAGAAATGGGGCCACTGTACATAAGGATCCCTGTGGCCATATATTGACTTAGAAAACCATATATTAACATTATCTATGTTCTGTTGTATTTTAATTTATTTTGTTTAGTATTTCCCAACTATATTTTAATTTGGTTTAGAGTGCAGGGTCCCTCTCCCTTTTATGTCTTCCCTGTATTTGGTACCCCTGCTATAAATTGTAGTAGGCACTTGATACTTGTTGAATGACTGACTGACATGTATATTCATTGAAGATACTTTGCCATACTTTATTCCTAATTCTGGTTTATATAACACTGGAATGTAGCTCTTTACTAGGTCCACATATGATTATTATTTTTCCTTTCAAAAGAATCTCACTTTAGGAATATAGTCAATGTTTGGGGCAGCCTAGGTTCAGATCAATATGGTATAAATTTAATAGGATTCAACTCAACCAAAAATACAGCCTTATTTGAAAACAAGAAAAGGTTCAGAACAATAGAATAAAAGCTGGTTCACAAGTAACCTAAAGGCATTAGGGAACCAGGCAGCTCTTGTTTCTCAGGGATACAACATAAAGAAAATTTGACAGCATTGAATTTCAAAGGGGATTGTAAGCAATAGCTCTGTAATTTGACAGACAACCCTATGGTTCAAAAAAAATGGTTCAAGGCTTAAACCATTCTTTCACATAAACATAAAACCTTCAAAACATCCTAGAAAACAAACTTAAGTTTCAAAATTAAATTTGAAAATAAAGGCAGATATTTCTCATGATTATTAATGAAACAGCAAAGGTAGCTCTATTGAGGTGGAAGTAAATATACTGGAAAGCTAATTAAAATAAGAACAAGGACAACAATGAGGAGAAGAGGAATGATCATACAATCATTTTCAGAGTTGAAAGTAATATTAGATATCTCATTTAATGAAGAGTTGGACATGACTGAAATGACTGAACAAGAACAAAAAAAACTAACCCTCTCATTTTACAGATAAGGAAACAGGTACACAAAAGGAAAATGACTTGTCCACAGTCATAGATGTAGTCAATGGTAGAATTGAGTTTTGAACCCAGGTTTTCTGACTCCTGTTCCAGGGTACCTTACATTCTAACTTTCTAAACCTGAAGTCAGGACTGAGTCCAGAGGCTAAATATCATGTTTGATATATTTATTAGCAGTGTGACAGTGGACTTTTCTAAGCTTTAGTTTGTCATTTGTATATTTTTCACTTCCTACCTCCTTCCTGGTTCTAGGGAAACCATTTTTAAAATATTTCAATGTTTTGCAAATGTGAATTATTTTATTATTATAACCTTAAAATCCAGAAAAAGAAGGCTGATATTTCTAAAATTATGAAGGGCAGGAACAGAGTAGACATGCTCACCAAATCCTAGAATATGAGAACTTGAGACATGGTTCTTTCTGTGAGAGAATAGATAGATAGGATTTGGAGTTAGAAAGGATCTTCAAAGCCACATGTACCAGATTCCAACCCAAATAGTAATCCTTTCTTGGATATCTTGGATTGCTTGTCATCCAGCCTCACAGCGAGGAGGACCTCACTAACCAGCCAGTCATTCAATAAGCATTTATTTAGCCTCTATTATGTGCCAGCACTGTGCTAACCACTGAATGAGGCAGCCTATTCCATTGAGTTCTTTATATTGAACCAAAACAGCTTTCCTGTAACTTCTATCCATTAGTCCTCGTTTTGCCCTCTTGAGTAACACAGAATAAGTCTACTCCCTCTTCCACATGGCAAGGATAAAGTTCCCTCTCCCCTATAAATTTTCTCTTGGTGAAATATCTCTAGTTCCCTCAAATATCCCTAAGTCCTACAGGACATATTATCCAGACCCCACACTGTTCTTACCTTCCTTTGTACATGTTTCAGTTTTTCAATGTTCCTCACAAAGTGTGGGACACAATAATGAACACAATCAACAAGCATTTATTATGCCACACAATGATGCACTTGCTTTGGTCCCCTACTTCTAATAATGTAATCTAAGACTACATTCCTTGGTTAGCAGCTGCCTCATACCAATGGTTTATATTGAACTTATGGCCAATTATAAATTCCTATTTTTATATGATTGTTATCAAGTCAGGTCTCTTTTATCCTCTGCTTGTGCAATTGATTTTTTGAATCCAAGTGTATGACTTCACATTCATTCATGTTCATTTCATCTTATTGGATTCAGTTCATTTCCCTCACCTGTTCACCATTTTGAATATTGATTTTTGTCATTTTTCATCTCTTTCAATTTTTCCTTCAGAGATTTGAAAAGCAGCTCTTTTTTGAATGTACCCACACCTTGATAAAAATGTTGATCAGTGTAAAGAATATTTGCATAATAAGTATTGAATTTACAAAATGTATTACTCTAAGGAATGGTTTAAATAAATCTGTACATGGTTGATCAAGTTGTCATAATAGCTTACTAAAGAAACTAAAACATTTTGGAGCACATATTTACTTTTGAGGTTGGCATCATGAAAGGGAATGGATGTTCCTTGGTGCCACCATTAGTGACAGAATATTTGTTTACAACAATCACTAGTCTCATTCAGTATGGCCATATTTAGGTTCTCACATTCTCAATTATTCAAATGTCCTAGTAGGTAACCAAAGCCTGCTTATATATGTACCCAAGAGCTTACAAGAATAAATGCATTTTTTTTCTTTCCATAGAATGGACAAATCAAATTG